CATACACACACACACACACACACACACACACACACACATATATATATATACACACTCTATACTCATATACACATATAATACGGGCCCAGATGTTGTGAATTATAAGAGTATTTACACACACATATATATGAGTATATATGCACATACATATATATGAGCATGTATATGCATATATATATATTTATATATGTGTGTATATGTATGTATACTCATAGCACACAACATCTGGGCCAGTATCATTTATTTTTGTAAAAATTCACTCTCCCCTACTAGACTGCAGACTTTTTAAGAATAGAAACCTAAAATTCTGTATTATTATAGTTTCTTCTAGGCCTAGCTGACAAATAATGGATGCTCAAGAATTTTTTAAAAATAAATTGTCACTTTTATGGTCTGGTCAGTTGTTTGTCTCAAAAATTTTCTTGGGCACAATAATTTCTGTCACATATAAACCACCTTGGTCAAGTTATCAAAATTATTTTATAATTTAGAACCAAATAACAGAGTTCAGAAGAATCTGAAAGGGACACTCCTTAAGGAATATAAATATAATAATTCATAGGTATAGTGTAAAACACTAGAAAAGTCATTTGAGAATATGGGACCTAGTCCTAACGATGCATGTATTACTTTGCTAGCATTGCCATGACAAATACTGCAGACTGAATGGATCAAACAACAGAATTTATATTTTCCGAATTCTGGAGGCTAGAAGTCTAAGATGTTCATCTTCTCCCTGTATCTTTACATGATTTTCCTACTGTGTGTGTCTGTGTCTTAATCTCCATTTAGAGAATTCATATCGAATCAGACCCCATCTATATGACAACATATTAAGTTAACTGCTTCTTTAAGGAACTTATCACTAAATATAGTCACATTTTTAGGTGCTGAGGGTTAGGACTTCAACACATAAATTTTTTAAAAATATCATTTTTATATTTCAATTACAGTTGGCATACAATATTATTTTGGTTTTAGATGTACAACATAGTGCTTAGACATTTATAAAACTTACAAAGTGACAATATCAATAAATCTAGTACCCATCTGACACCATACATAGTTATTAAATATTATTGACTATATTTCTTATGCTATACTTTATGGCCTCATAAATATTTTCTAACTACCAATCTGTACTTCTTAATCCCTTCCCTTTTAAGCCATTAACCTCTTCCCATCCAGCAACCCTCAAAATGTTCTCTTTATCGATGAGTTTGTTTTTGTTTTGTTTACTTGTTTATTTTGTTCTTTAGATTCCACATGCAAGTGAAATTATATGGCATTTGTTTTTGTCTGACTCACTTCACAGCGCAATATCCTCTAGGTCCATCTATATTTGTTGCAGATGTCAAGATTTTATTATTTATTTATTATGGATGAGTAATATTCCATTTTATATATGTACCACCTCTTCTTTACCCATTCATCCATTGATGAACACTCAGGTTACCTCCATATTTTGACTAATGTAAACAATGCTACAATGAACATGTGGATTTACATGTCTTTCTGAAGTAGTGCTTTGGGATTCTTTGGATAAATACCCAGAGTGAGATTACTGGCACCTTCTTTGTCTGTTGTTATAGCCTTTATTTTAAAGTCTATTGCTACTCCAACTTTTTTGTTTCCATTTTCATGAAACATCTTTTTCCATCCCCTTACTTTCAGTCATTTTGTGTCTTCGGAACTAAAATGAGTCTCTCGTAGGCAGCAAATGTAAGGGTCTTGTTCTCTTATCCATTCAGCCACCTTATCTTTTAATTGGAGCACTTAATCCATTTGCATTCAAAATAATTGTTGATAGATATGTAGTTATTACCATTTTATTATTCATATTATTGACCTTTTTATTTATTTTTTTCTTTTCTTAAAAAAGTCTCCAAAATTTCCTGTAATTCTGGCTTGGTGATGATGAGCTCCTCTAGCTTTTCCTTGTCTTGGAAACTCTTTATCTGTCATTCGAGTCTAAATGATAGCTTTGCCGGGTAGAGTAATCTTGTTTGTAGGTCTCGGTTTTTCATCATTTTGAATATTTTGTGACAAATCCTTCTGTTCGTATAGTTCCTTTTGACAAATCAGCTGCCAGTCCTAACTATAAGGTGCTCCCTTGTAGTTAAGAAACTGCTTTTCTTTTGTGGCTTTTAAGATTATCTCTTTGTATTTAACCTTCGGAATTTTAATTATAATGTGTCTTAGAGCGGGACTTTTTGGGTTCATCTTGTTTGGGACTCTCTGTGCTTCCTAGGCTTTTATGTCTATTTCCTTCACTAAGTTAGGAAAGTTTTCCATCTTTATTTCTTCAAATCAATTTTTAATTCCTTGCTTTCTTTCTTCTTCCTCTGGTATCTTTATGATGCAAACATTGGGACGCTTGATGTTGTCCTGAAGGCCCCTTAACCTATCCTCATATTTTGGATTCCTTTCTTTTGTTACTATTCTGATTGAGTATTTTCTGCTACCTTAATCTAAATCACCAATTCAATCCTTTGCTTCATCTAATCTACTGTTAATTCCTCCTAAGGTATTCTTCATTTCAGTTATTGTATTTGTCATTTCTGACTGGTTATATTTTATGTTTTCTATCTCTTTGTTAAAGTCCTCACTGAGTTCATCTACTCTTCCCCTAAGTTCAGTAGGCAGCTTTATAACCAGTGTTTTGAACTCTGCCTCCAGTAGATTGCTTGTCTCCATTTTGTTGATTTCTTTTTCTGGAGCTTAGTTCTGTTCTTTCATGTGGGACATCTTTCTTTGTCTCCTCATTTTGGCTTTGGTTTGTATTAGGTAGAGTAGCTAGGTTTCCCAGTCTTAGTAGAGTGGCCTTATGTAGTAGGTGTCCTATGGGACCCAGATGCACAGTTTCCTTGGTCACCTGAGCCAGGTGCTTCAGGCGTGTTCCTTTTATGGGTTGGGTGTGTCCTCCTTTTGTACTTGAGCCTTGGTTGCTATTTGCACATCAGTTCCTCCTCAAACATCCCTGGCACATTTTGAGCTGCTTCCCCAGTGCTGGAGCTCAGAACAAGTTCATCAACAAGTAAATCTATGCTCTAGCCCTTTAAGAGGAATTTCTGGGACTCCTATAGCCCTCCGTCTCACTCAGACACAATGTCCGCTGATTTTTACATCCATGTTTTGTGGGGCCTTCTCTTCCATGTACTGGAACCCTGAGCTGGGAAGTCTGGTGTGGGTCTGGGACACCTTGCTCTTCCAGGGGAACCTCTGCAGCTAAGATGTCCATCTTGATTTTTAATTGGCACATGTGGGTGTAGGATTAGCCTTTTCCATATCTCTTCCTCTCCTACCAGTCTCCAGGTGGCTTCTTCTGTATGACCTCAGAAGGACTTTTGTTCAGGTAGAATTCAGGAGATTTTCAATGAAGGTTGTTCTATAATTTAGTTGTAATTTTGGTGCATTTGTGAGAGGTGGAAGAACAGCATTTAACTACTCCACATCCTGACTAGAAAATCAACATGTAATTTTTTTAAGGGACACAATTTAACCCATAATAATGCAGCTATAACTTTCATAAGTCATTCAATGCTTTTGAACTTAGCTGCTTCTTTGGTAAAACTATATAATTTTCATTATTTATAAAAACTTTCTCAAACAACTTTCATTTCTCCATGCATTATTACTCTTGTAATATAGTTCTAGAATAATACCTTGGTGAATGTCACTGTACTTTATGCACCTTATGAAAAATGAAACTTTGGAGTCATTTTGCATTTTTCTCCCTTCCCAAATACCATATATAACTGAGCACCTTTACCTGTTAAATTGTTCTGACTCACTTTTTTCTTCCCCTTTGGGCCCATATGGATCTCATTGCCATTTTCTCTGCCTTCATTCCTAACTCTCACCAGTCTGTCCTTCATATCACTCTTATGGTAATTATAGGAATTTTTCCCCATTTTCGAGTCTTTAATATCTAAATTAATTTATATAACTGTCAAGATCCTAATATTTTTTACTGCCCACTCATCCAGCCTCAACTCCCACCAACATTCCCACTGTATCTTTTACCCTGCACAATTTTACATGTTTGAAATATTAACCCGATTTTGGTCCCAATGCTTCAGCCAAAACTTTTTTTTCATTTGTTTTATATGCCTTTTCCCTGCTTCTTCTCCTGAAAGACACAGTCATATTTGCACTTATAATAGCTCAAATGCTTTTTTTTCATGTGAGGCCCCATCCCTACCCCAATTCCCTGAGGAAGAACTGGGAATAGCTTGTCTTCTGTCTCCTCTATACTTTGATATACACTCATCATCTAATAGACTTTTAGCTGTGGTTTATTGATTTGTCTTTGCACCAAATCAAGCTCTTTCAGAACCTGGATTATTTGCTTTATCTTTGAAACTTAACAAATATGTTATATGAATGCTGTTTATGATAATCTAGGCACAAAAAATATACAATATTGATTAGTTGAATTAATATTTATGCTACTGATATTTTTCAAATATGTAATTTTACACATTTGATTTTAATTCAATTTCCTTTATAAATTGTTTCAAATATTAGATCCATATTGGATATTTTATCACATATAAGAAACTATTTATTGTCTTAGACACTGGATTATCCAGATTCATTAAGTTTTCAGTAAAAATTTTAAGAAAAATTATGTTGGCTTTGAAATTTCTTTTGCCTTCTAGGTATGTGCTTACAGAACAGAGCATTTCATCAAACTGTGTTATTTATTGGCTTTGTTGCTGCTATTTCAATTCTCATTTTCTTTCTCGTCACCTCCTCTTTTAGATAAACAAGCTGGAGGCATGCCTTGGGCAGGCAGAATGTACAGATGATAAAGGGATTCAAAGGAAGGACAATGAACACTGGATGAAAGAAGACTACATTAACTGTACCTGTAAGGTATGTGATGCTGGAAGTTTTCCATCCTCCTTCTTCAGTTTTACTTCTGCTAGCCTGCCAGTTGAGAAATACATGGAAAATTCAAAAAGAGAAAAAAAAATGGGTTTTTTAGTGAATAGATTCTATGCATATTTTTAAGGTCAAGATTTTGAGGTTTCTGATTATTGACATAAATATGACTACCATCTAATGAGTGTTTGCCAGATACCATAGTTTACTATTTTTACTAACAAATGAAAGAACTGAGATGCAGGAAGTTTATAGAGCTTTGCCCAAGGTCACACAAGTGAACTGAGGCACAACTGGGGCTTGACTTCATCTTATTATTCTCCAGTAAAGCTCACTACAAACGTACTTGGTAAACTACACAATTCTATATAAATATTAAAAAGTGTTTTCATGATATCCACTGAAAGAAAAATGTACAGCATTTATTTGGTTTGCTTTTTGAACAGAATTTATCTTGCTCCTCCCTGCCCCTCTCCATCAATGAAATTCTTGAATTTCCCCAGGCATACCACATCCCATACCAAATGGTTTGGGAGGCGATATTTTATAGGTCAGCACTTCTAGCCTTGCCATTTATGATGCAAATGTATAGAAATAAAGAATTAATAGCAATTATATGTAAAATTTAGATCAGAGCATGAGCAATTTTTATTTCGTTGAGATTGTCAGCCTATCAGGTTATGTATTACAAGAAACTTTTTAAAAAGTAATTTTGCTGTAAAAAAACATGAAAATGATCTTTAAATGTTGCCTTTCAGAGTGGCCAGGTCATGCATATGGTGGTGACTTATCCCCCAGTTCCATGATCTAGTCTTGAATTAGTGAAATAAACCTTCCCTCCATTCTGCAGAGACTCAGGGATGCCAGCTGAGTCTCCAGAGAAATGTTTACCAATGTTATCCGCTCTTGAGCTCTGAATGAAGAATTTCACAGGAAAAGACAGTCAGGCACTTAGTACTTCAGCATTTTTAACCTGTAGTTACATACTTGACTCAGAAACCACTGACTTAAGAGCAAGCTAGTTCATTTAAGCCTTCGGCATACTGAAGATCTTTTCATTTGCTAACACTCTTTGCAATAATGAAAAATTAAAGGCTGTAAAGTGCACAGGATTATTTGATCTTAAGAAATATTTCTTATAGTTTTATATACCTTATATGTAAATAAAAATATATAATGTAATAATATTTTTTAATCTGAGGAGATTGTAGAAAATCTCTCATTTCAAAATTCAGAGAGATTTTATAATCTCCACCAATTTTGAGAGAATGGATTTTGCACTTAGAGAAAACATCTGGAAAGATCTGTAATAAATTTGGCACAATATATAAGGCCACCTGTTCTCCACACTCCACTTTCTCTCTCACCCAGTTCCATGATCTAGTCTTGAATTAGTGAAATAAACCTTCCCTCCATTCTGCAGAGACTCAGGGATGCCAGCTGAGTCTCCAGAGAAATGTTTACCAATGTTATCCGCTCTTGAGCTCTGAATGAAGAATTTCACAGGAAAAGACAGTCAGGCACTTAGTACTTCAGCATTTTTAACCTGTAGTTACATACTTGACTCAGAAACCACTGACTTAAGAGCAAGCTAGTTCATTTAAGCCTTCGGCATACTGAAGATCTTTTCATTTGCTAACACTCTTTGCAATAATGAAAAATTAAAGGCTGTAAAGTGCACAGGATTATTTGATCTTAAGAAATATTTCTTATAGTTTTATATATTTTATATGTAAATAAAAATATATAATGTAATAATATTTTTTAAAATCTGAGGATTGTAGAAAATCTCTCATTTCAAAATTCAGAGAGATTTTATAATCTCCAAAAATTTTGAGAGAATGGATTTTGCACTTAGAGAAAACATCTGGAAAGATCTGTAATAAATTTGGCACAATATATAAGGCCACCTGTTCTCCACACTCCACTTTCTCTCTCACATTTAGAACCTAGACAATGGTCAGATTTTCCTGGGAGAGACCTTAACCTTCATTAGGCTTTTATTTCTAGAATATTAGTGAACAGTTAGTGACAGAATTATTTTAGAGAACTTGCCATTTTTACATTTTGCTGGAAAATACAACCGCCATGAAGAAACAAGACTTTAAAGCAGAGTTACTCAATATCTGACTTTTTCTTATTATTATCACCTGTGAGATGTCAAAATTAAAATTTGTCAAGTTTGAAATTCGGGAGCAATCTGAATTTCCTATCAGTGAGATTGAAAATGTTTTTTGACGTTTACAAAAGATGCTATAATGCTATTTTATCTAATTTGGGCATATTGTTATACCATTTGAAATATATTTCAGTAGACAACAAGTTTATTTACTTGGAATTGAATATTTGGAAAATTAGGTGAGTTTCACTTAATATTAGATGAGTGATTTTAAAATAAGGTATAAAAGTGTTCACATGTATGTGGAGGTTGGTTGAAATCGTTGGTAGATTTCTTTAAAAAATTATTTGTTCTAAAATTATTGATGAAAGACTTTATGTAGTGTCCTGCACAGATGGGCTCTCAGGGAGATAGCTCTATTGATTTCTAACAAAATAAACTTAAAAAAAAAGCATAATTATTGATTAAAATGTGGTGTTAATTTTAGTCAAAATATGTTCATGGTTTTGTACTATAAATGAAGACAGATGTTATCAGAGATTCGATACATCTCATTGTTTTTAAATGTGTTAGTGATTCCCTCCTAGTATCCGAAATAATTTTTTACTAAAAAGTTTTGAGGAAAAAACTTAATATGTCCTGAAATTGTGATGTTTAATATCTTTTAAAATGCAAAATAATTTTTAATTATACCAAGTTTTGAAAGAAAAAACCTAACAAGTCCCAAAAGCTTGATATTTGGTGGCCTTTTAAAACTCAACAATGTGAAATGAAGTTAAAATTTGTTCCTCAGAAATAATCACAGTAAACACTGCAAATGATAATAATGAACTTGTAATTATTTGGATTTCTCATCATTTTAATCTGTCATATTATCTTCTTATTGAAGTCTAAGCAAGACCTATATGGTCGCTCATATTATTTGTTAAACACTGACTAGTTGAAGGCCACCTGTTACATATGTTTGACTCATTAAACATAATCAAATATCAAAATAACAGAATGAAATTATCATTTAAAATGGAACTGGATTAACCATATGGGAATTTTGAAAATTGCATATCAATTGCCTATTAAGGAAACATAAAAATTCAGTCATTTTTGAGGGGACTGGCCAAGACGGTGTAGAAGGTAGATGCTGTGCACTCTCCTCTCATAATTACACCGAAATTATAATGAAACTACAGAGCAACCATCACTGGGAGTCTCCTGAGGTCTGGCTGAACAGAAGCCCTACAACTAGGGAAAAATATAAGAGGTCACCTTGAACAAGTAGGAATGGCAGACGTGAAACAGCCTGGAGTGAGGGGTCCCGGCCCCACACTGGGCTCCCCAGCCCAGGGTTCTAGTGCCAGGAAGAGAAGTCCTTGTAAAACCAGCGGAGATTGTGGCAGAGTGAGACAGAGGGCTGAGATAACTGTAGATGTTACTCTTAAGGGGCCCGTGCCCAGACTTACTCACTGATGGACTCACTTGCTCTGAGCTCCAATACTGGGGCAGCTGCTCCAGGAGCACCAAGGACATACTGGGAGACACTGAATTGTTGGGCTTCAGGGAGAAGGCTGGAGGGGCAGCTTTCTCCCAGACAGAGGTGCTGGCAGTATCTATTAATACTTCGTTGATCTCTACCCGCTGCCAGCATGCAGATGCAGGTGGCTGCCATATCTGAGTTACCATCAACCTGGATAACACAGCTCATTGCACCCAGATGATTCCTTGAGACTCCACCTCTCCCAACTTGCAGGCCAACCCAAGCTGCTTCCAGTGGTTTATTCCATACAAATGGCCTGTCTTGGCTCTTGATGTGGACTTTCCTAAAATTTCTCAAAGGCTCACAAAACCCAAAGCAGCAGCATCTGGCCTCAACATGCCCCATACCTCTTGCTGAATTGCCCCAAGTCCCACGCTAGCAGCAGCCAGTATCGGTTCCTGGCTTGGCCTCTTGAGGTACCTATAAGCTCAGTACAGGTGACAGACATCTGTGGATTGCTTGGTGACTCTTACCAGGTGGCCCCAGAAGTGCATAGGCTACAGCTGAACTTGGCCTGTAGCTAGGAAGCTCCCAGGAGGCCTTGGACTGGCACACATAATGGCCTGCTTTGACCAGCACTGGAGCTGGAGTATCACCCATGACTGCATCTGAGGAGGATACACTGAAAGGGCAGACTGAGCAGGCACCAGAGCCCTGCTAAAGTGAATCCTGTTTTGTAGGGTCAGCCCTTCACTAGCCATAGCTCACAACCAATCAGTCCAAGAGTCAATTCCTCTCATCAGAGTGCAAACAGCAACCAAGGCTCAACTATAACAGGAGGGCACACACAACCCACAGAAGAGATAGACCTTGAACACCTTGCTCAGGGCCCCACAGGACACCTACTACATAAAGCTACTCTACTAAGACCCGGAGACTTAGGACTTCTACCTAAAACAGAAACAAACACAAGGAGGCAGACAAAATGGGGCGACAAAGAAACATGTTCCACATAAAAGAACAGAACAAAACTCCAGAAAAAGAACTCAACAAAAAGGAGACAAACAACCTATCAGATGCAGACTTAAAAATACTGGATATATAGATGCTAGAAGAACTTAGGGGAAGAGTAGATGAACTCAGGGAGAACTTTAATAAAGAGATAGAAAACACTAAATAGAGATGGAAAACATAAAAGAAAACCAGTCAGAAATGAAAACTACAATATCTGAGGTGAAGCGTATGTTAAAGTGAATGAACGGAGCGGATGAAGAGGAGAATCAAGTCAGTGGTTTAGAGGATAGGGTATTGGAAGAAATAATCTAAAAAAAGTAAAGATATTTTAAGGAGCCTCTGGGACAACATCAAGTGCAACAACATCTCTACCATAAAGATACCAGAAGGAGAAGACAGAGACATCAAAAAATTGAAAACTATTTAAAGAAATAATGATGGAAAAATTCCCCAGCCTGGTGAAGGAAATAGACATACAAGCCAAAGAAGTACAGAGCATCTCAGACAAGATGAACTCAGAGGCCCCCACAAAGACACATAGTCAGGGCTGAGCTGATCTTGTGGCTATGTCAAGTGTCAGCAGTAAGCTGATCGAGAAAGGAAGGTTTGATGGTGAGATGCCCAGTTGGAAGAATGCACAAAAGGCAGACACGAGAATGAAATGGCAAGCACCAACTTTATTGTGCGGAGCACATTTCTGTTGGCAAGTTCCGTTCTATTGCGGGGGCCACATGGTATTTCACGCGCTTCTGCTCCCTTTTTCTGTGCTCCCCTTCTGCTCCCCCTTTCTGTTCTCCAGGGGACAGCATGGCTCCACACATAGCAGAGTACAATAGTGGCCTTTAGCCACACATGGGTGATACAATAAGCTAAAGTATGTTTACATATTTTAGGCACAGTCACCCAACTACGCTAATGCTAAATCTGGGGCCCTGTTCTTAGCCAGGAGCCTGGATCACAGCCAGACCTTAGGCCAGTCAGGCCTTAGATCATTTAGGCCTTGGATAACAGCCAGACTTTGGATCACAGCCAGACCTTGGGCCGGCCAGGCCTGGTGTCCACACACATCATAATTAAAATGTCAAAGATTAAAGATACAAAGAAAATCTTAAAAGCAGCAAGAGAAAAGCAATTAGTTGTTTACAAGTAATCTCCCATAAGATTGTCAGCCGATTTCTCAACAGAACCTTTGCAGACCAGATAGATTGTCATGCAATATTCAAACTAATAAAAAGCCAGGACCTACAGCCAAGATTACTCTACCCAGCAAAGCTATCATTTAGAATCGGTGGACTAATAAAGAGCATCCCAGACAAGAAAAAGCTAGAGGAATTCATCATCACCAAGCCAGTATTACAAGGCATGCAGGCCACAAGGAAGGGAATGGCATGAAATAATCAGTGATAAAATCAAGGACTTACAACCAGGATTATTCTACCCAGCAAGGCTATCATTTAAAATTGATGGAGAGATAAAGAGCTTCCCAGACCAGAAAAAGTTAAAGGAGTTTATCACCACCAAGCCAGTATTATAGGAAATGTTGGAGAGACTTCTTTAAGAAGAAGAAAATCAAAAATATGAAAATATGAATAAAGAATGACAATAACTACATATCTATCAACAAGTACTTCAAATGAAAAAAAAAATGCTCCAATCAAAAAATACGGTAATCGAATGGATAAGAAAAGAAGACCCTTACATATACTGCCTATGATAGGCTCACTTCAGATTAAAAGACACACAGACTGAAAGTGAAGGGATTAAAAAATATTTTATGAGAGCATAGAGCTGAATGGAATAAGTCAGTTAGAGAAAGACAAATGCCACATGATTTCAAGTATATGTGGAATCTAAAGAACAAAATAAACAAACAACAAAAAAAGAAACAAACTGATAGATACAGAGATCATTTTTAGGATTACCATATTAGACAGGGGTTTGGGGGATAGGTGAAAAAGGGGGAAGGGATTAAAATGTGGGAAAATATAATAATTTCAAAACAAACTCCTGGCTGGACTCACCAAAGAAAAAAGAGAAAGGGCAGAAATAAACAAAATCAGGGATGAAAGAGGAGAAATTATGACAGACAACACAGCAATACAAAGGATAATACAAGAACACTATGAAAAACTATATAACACCAAATTTAACAACCTAGAAGAAATGGACCATTACTTAGAAAAATGCAACCTTCCTAGACTGAATAAAGAAGAACTGGAAAATCTAAATAGACAGATCAACCATATGGACATTGAAACAATAATCAAAAACCTACCAAAAAGTAAAAGTCCAGGACCAGATGGCTTTACCAGTGAATTCCACCAAATATTCAAAGAAGACTTAATACCTATTCTCCTCAAACTCTTCCAAATAATCGAAGAGGAGGCAATACTTTTCAACTTATTTTATGAGGACAATATTACTTTGATACCAAAACTTGGTAAAGATAACACAGAAAAATAAAACTATAAACCAATATCTCTAATGAACATAGATGCTAAAATCCTATATAAGATACTAGTGAACCGAATACAGCAACATATTAAAAAGATTATACACCATGATCAAGTGGGCTTCATCCTAGGGGCACAGAGATGTTTCAACATATGCAAATCGATTAATGTGATACACCATATAAACAAATTAAAAAATAACAATCACATGATCATATCAATAGATGCAGAAAAAGCCTTCAACAAATTACATCATCCATTTATGATCAAATACGTCACAAAATTGACAGAGAAGGAAAGTAACTTAATAAAATAAAGGCCATCTATGACAAAACCTCAGCCAACATTTCACTTAATGGTGAAAAACTAAAAATCTTCTCTCTAAGATCAGGAACAAGGCAAGGTTGTCTACTATCGCCACTGCTATTCAATATAAAATTGGAAGTCCTAGCGAGTGCAATCGGGCAAGGGAAAGATTAAAAGGTATCCAAATAGTAAATGAAGAAGTCAAACTGTTATTATTTGTGGGTGACATGATTCTCTATATAGAAAACCTTAAAGACTCCACAAGAACACTAGTAGAAACAATAAGCAAATAAAGTTTCTAGATACAAAATCAATGTTTAAAAATTCATAGTGTTCCTATATTCTAATAATGAATTGTCAGAAAAAGAAGTGGAAAAAATAATTCCTTTTGCAATTGCAACAAAAAGAATAAAATACCTGAGAATAAATTTAATGAAACATGTGAAGGACCTGTATAATGAAAACTATAAGACCCTCTTAAGAGAAATCGATGAAGATACAAAGAAATGGAAAGATACTCCATGTTCTTGAATTGGAAGAATCAACATAATTCAAATGACCATATTACCTAAAGGATCATATAGATTTAATGCAATCCTCATCAAAATCTCATTGGCAATTTTTAAAGAAATAGAACAAAAAATGATCAGATTTATATGGAAGCACAAAAGATCCCGAATTGCCAAAGCCATCCTGAGAAAAAAGAATGAGGCTGGAGGCATCACTGTGCCTGAATTTAAATTATACTACAAAGTGACAGTAATCAAAACAGCATGGCATTAGCAGCAAAACACACACATGGACCAGTGGAACAGAATCTAGAGTCCAGAACTAAACCCATATTTACATGGGAAAATAATTTTTGACAAAAAAGCCAAAAGCATACAGTGGAGAAAGGAAAGCCTCTTCAATAAATGGTGCTGGGAAAATTGGAAAGCCACCTGCAAAAGAATGAAATTAGACTGT